GGATCCGCGGGTAAAAATATTAAAAATTATTAATATCAAAATTTAAGTTTTAGTTAGTAACCCGTTAAATTACAAAAATATTTTAAAATATTTAAACATGAATCTTAAACCATTAAATTTTAATTTATATCTTAATTCTCATGTTCTAATTCATATTATGCAGACCCAAAAATATATATACATAAATGGAATTAAAATCATATCCTAAATAACAAAAAAAAATATTCTTTCAACAATTAACTATATGATAAGATCTTATAACAATTAAAATATTATAGAGTTAAATCATAAAATAATACATTGTGAATAATCGCATAAAACCTATAAAATATTTTATAATAGTTTTATCAAGTATTATATATAAATCTATGATTGATAAATGTCATTAATGTCATTGTTTTATATAATCGTCAAATCTTACACTTTTGGATCTTAACAGTAAATATTTATTATTATTTTATAATATGTATAAGTTTTCATTTTAAATAGTTTCCTTTTTTAACATTGAAAAGTATAGGTAGAAGATTTCTATTTTCTTTCTATTTTCTAAGTAAATATGTTTATAGAATTTTTTCTTTTTTGGTATGTTTGTGCATATAAACTTTAACATTGAGATTTCAATATTCTTTCAAATTTTTTGCTTTTCAATTTATAAAATTTCTTTTTTTTATCATTCATATTTTTTTTCTTAATTAAAATTTTAATTTCCTCTCTATTTTTTTATTGTTTATAGTATCTCTATTTTCTTTCTTAAATTTTTTTTTTTAATTTGTTTAAATTATTATAATTCTTTTTCTCCTACCTATTTGGGATTATTAGAAATTTTCTTTTTTTACTATTTGGTTAGTTGCTTGACAATTATTTTGTTCATTTTTCATTTTTAATTTTATCTTTTCTTAATTAATTTTAATTTTTAACAAATATTATCATCTAATCAATACTGGACATGTCACGATTTGGTAAGTTATAATTTTGTTTACGTGTCAAACTCTCGTCGATAATCTAGCTAGTGTGGTCTATTAGAAAATTTCCTTTTCCCATAGTTAATATGAACAATAAGAATTTTTTTTCTTTACTATTTGGTTAGTTACTTGACAATTATTTGTTTCTTTCCCCTTTTATTTTTATATATTTTATATCTAGTTAATACGCAGGTAAACACATTGAAATTTGTTAATCTCAAAATTTCAGTTTTAATTAACAACTCGTTAAATTATAAAAAATTCGAATATTTAAACATGGGTCTTAATCCATTAAAGTTTAATTCATATCTTAATTCTCATGTCTTAATTCATATGGTGCAGACCCAAATATATATAGGGCAATTGCAAAAATACCATTTTTGGTGTGTACATTTGCAAGAATGTCAGTTAAAGATGTCCATTTGCAAAAATGCCATTAATTATAGTTTTTTAAAACTTAAATCTTAAAATTATTAATCCTAAAAAATATTTTGACCCCTAAAATCGCTTAAACCTTCAAAACTAAACCATAATACAACATAGTTAGAGTTAGCTCAATATTACTTTTGGAAGCTATAATTAGAAAACTAATATGTTGATAATTGGATTTGACTAAATAGCAGAGAGAAAACATATTCGGACGAAACGATCCCTACGAAATTTATCAAGGAAAGTATCAATAAATCAAAAAAAATATATTCTTCTCATCTTTCAAAAATTAAAAAAAAATCCCAAAATATTATATATTCTTCTCATATCTAAAAAACAATGTCACGGTTTCTTTATCTCTAAAAAATATATTGACCTGAAAAAAAGATTATATTAGAAATTTGCCAAGAAAGATGACAAATAAACAATATGTTGTAACACTTAACTATTTAATAATATAGTTGACTATTATCGAACTTACATATTCTTAATAACATAGTGGACTATTTTCGAAACTACATATTGTATTGATCTCAAAAGATACTTAGCTACCTCACACTAGTTTGTAACTATATAAAATATAGTTAACTATTTTTCAGAAAATAATTACCAATTTAAAAGCATAGTTAACTATTTTCATATCACAGTTGTCTATTTTAACAGTTTTTTAACATAGTTGACTACAAGAAAAAATTATTGTAATAGTTACTTGTTTACACAAACATAGTTCACTATGTTCAGAACGTAGTTACCTTATAGTCTACACAATGAAAAAAGATAACATATATAGTTAACTATTATCAGAAACATAGTTATATATTATAGTTTGCAGAATGACAAAGAATAACATACATAATTAACTATTATGAGAAAAACACAGTTACCTATTATATTGATTTTCGAACATAGATAACTATACGGATCTCTAACGATGGCTCGATTTGACTAGGATAGGTGACGACAATGGAGAGTTTAATGGAGGAAAAGAAACATCATCTTAATCTATAATCGAAGATTTTTTCATGGGAAGAAAGAAGAGATCTATTAT